ATAAAATCAAAGAGTAATTGAAAAATTAGATACCAATTTATACTACGAATATGAAAAAATATTGCTCTTTTTGTTGAAAATAGCAAAAATAGTATAGACATAATTTATGAGTGCCATATATTTTGTGGAACTACTCTTAATAGAGTAGTACCTACAAATATATATATTGAAATACAATTTATCAATTTTTGTTGTTCCACAATTGAAAGTACCCTACAATAATTATTTAAATTGTGATTATTAGTAAGGGTTTAAAACACCTCCAAATTATAAATATAGTAGCAATTTTAACTATTAGAATGTTGTAGTTTTAACTATTACAATGTAATAGCAATTACAATCGATGCTAAAGTTTAATTGATCCAAGTTAGTTTTGCTATCCTCTCCTCTCTACTCAATCAAATTGGCTCTCATTTTATCTCCTCTCCCATCTGAATAAAATCCCAAACCCTACCTTGCTCAAGCTCTCCCCACTTTTGCACTGATCCCCCAAAGTGTACCGCTCAATACACTGCCAACCTTCTTCTCCTTGTCACCACCATCCTCCTGATCTAGGCATATTTCCATCAATTATTTTTTTTGAATCGCTTCCATGCAAAGCCTAGAAGAGGTTCTTTTCGACCTAACGATGCTTATACCACCCACATTGGGTTTGCAAACCAATTTTAATGCTATCTTTTCCAATGATTTTTACTTTTGGCCACACCAAACTATTTCAATTGTCCATACTTTTTTTTTAGCTAGAAATAGAAATATTTTTATGGATATGCTTAGAACAATGACTTTGACAAAGTATTTTGTTGTTTCTCATAGAAAAAGAGATGTGGCTGCAGATGCTGCTGCATGGGTGGTTGTTTTAAGGCAGGAGAAACGCCAGAACTGCACTGGGATTTTTCCTTGGCTCCATCCGCCAAATTGCGTTTCTTAAAATATATACTTGGAAGGTCATGCAGAGGTGCATATGAATCGCATTTGTCTTTACTTACAAGCAGGAATATTTAGTTTTTTGAAATATTCGGCAATGTGAAATTATGAAGGGAGGTCAAAGTTATAAAATTGTTTAAATTATACATTAATAAATTACTGATTTTTATATATTTAAGAAAGAAATCTCAGTCCATGGACTCATTTTGTAAGGTTAAATATTATTGAAGGTGGACTATGCGTGTCAGATTGAAAAGCAGAATATATTTTCTTTTGGGTTGAGATATTGCTTTTATATAATCGTGTCAGATATATTTAATTGAAATATTGTCTTGTTCTAATTCAGTTTGCATGGAAGTGTAAGTGGGGGGTGACTTGTGAGCTAATTTGAATTTGACTCGTTTGAAAATTAATGAATCATGTTTATCAAGTCTTGAGTTTGTACTTGAGTTCAGATTTCAAGCTTGAGCTTGAGCTGGAGCTTGGCTTGACTTGATTTAAGAGCTTGTCGAGCCAGCTCATTTAATCAAGTCAATCTTTGGCATGATTAATCGTGCTTGACCTTGAAATTTTGATATTTACAAATAAAATTGATATCAACAATCTAGATGTCACGCCTCGTCTGCCAGGCCTTAGAAGAGATTCACAAAATTTTGCAGGATTGTTTGAATAAAAGACTAAGAAATAGTTTCAATCAACAAACAGGTTTTAAGAAAATTTGACTCCCAAATAAGTTATTGAGCGTTTAAATTCAAAGATTTCATAATTATGTATCTATTAAAATAAATGACAACCTGAAATTGGGAATGGTAGGCATTAATTTCAAGAAAATTCAAAGATGTCTAGTAGTGTCATCTCTCTATGGTCTTGTCCATCCGACTAGCCAACATTCAAAAAAGATTTAATACATACATGCATACATATATATATATAT